TATATATATATATATATATATATATCATCATTATTATTATTATTATTTTTAATAATTATATTAGTAATTATTCAAATAAAATAATTCAAAATATAAAATAATTATAATCAATATAACAGTTTGACACACAAGTGAAATTAATATTTAGTTTTATTCACAAACTTTACATCACCAATAACTGTTTCAAAATAAGTTGATTTTAACAACAAGCCTTTCTTTTGGAAAAAATAGATGGATGGATAGAGAGAGATTTAGTACAGTGTTATTTTACTATTTAGTATTTATATACACTGTAGCATACTATTATAGTATTTATTATTTTTTAATTGGCTTTTATTTGTATATTTTCAGTTTCCATTTTTATCATAGTTTAAAGGGGGTCATATGACGTTGCTAAAAAGAACATTATTTTGTGTATTTGGTGTAATGCAATGTGTTTATGCGGTTTAAGGTTAAAAAAGCACATTATTTTCCACATAATGTACATTATTGTTTCTCCTCTATGCCCCGCCTTTCTGAAACGCATCGATTTTTACAAAGCTCATCAGTCTGAAAAGCGAGGTGTGCTGTGATTGGCCAGCTTTCCAGAGCGTTGGGATTGGCCGAATGCCTCAAGCGTGTGACGGAAATGTTACGCCCCTTAACATACTGTGATGGCGTCTCCCAGCAGGACGAGACAAAACCAATAAAACCCATTACAAATGAGGCATTTGTTGCATCCAGGGGGGACATAATTACTGATTATAATGGCTTGTACTGTCTTTTTAAGTGTTGCATTGCGTATCGCGCTGCGTAAACATAAAACCATGTCTGCATTTGTGATCGTAGAAACAACAAGCCTACTCTACACTGCTCAAAACTCACATTTGAATCAAATTATTTAAATATAAAAAACATACTTACAGGCTGTGAGTCAGAAGCGCCAGACTGTCCTTGCAAAGTTGGAACTGCCCAACTTTATAGAAACAGCCTTTGTGCCACAGACGCATTGTAGGCTACTGGTTCAGGAAACAGTCCTCGTCCTCCATAAAATGCGCAGCACCCATCTGAATATTTGGGTTGAACTGTTCTGGAACAGTGTTGTAAATACAACTTAACCACTAATTTCTAGTTGTGTCCTCTTGGAAGACCAAACAAAGTAGTTTCGCTTTCACAACGAAACACACAGCGACTCCACAACATGGCAGCGGCGGCAACAGCAAGAATTAAAGTTATGCCTTCTTTTTTTTGCGTGAACATTTGGGCGGTGTTATGCAAATCTTCCCACATGGTGACGTAGACATGTGGGGGCGTGTTAGAACGAGCTGTTTTAGGTAGGCGTGGCTGACTCTTAACTTTTATAAAGAATATCTCTTTGGATTTGAGACTTTAGTCTTTGCAACTTTACAGATCTTCTTTATGCACCAAGAGCTTGTAACACTCCAAAGAGAGAGGAAAAATTGAAATCGCATCATATGACCCCTTTAAGAAATATTTTTTATAGTTTGTTAAGAATAACAACACTGATTCAGTGTGAAAGTGTATTTCAATGTGTGTTTTTAGTAATTTAGTGTTTTTATTACTTGACATTGCTGCAAAATAAATACTTAACTAGCCAATTAGTCCTGCATATCGCTAGCATATATACATAAGCATTGCATCCACTTTCTCTGTTTTTCTAAAGGGAGAACTCCATGTGTCTAAGCTGTTCCACCACCCCTGTATCCTCCCATACAAGAGTGTCTTCATCGCTGAGAATGAACTGTGGGTGATCACACCCTTCATGGCCTACGGTTAGCGGAGACATTCTGTATCACCCATATCAAGTCCAAACTGCTCATAGTGCCAGTTGTAAATGTGTTTTGCTTACCGATCCTTTGTGTTTCTCTTCTCCATCAGGATCAGCACGAGACTTGATCAGTACACATTTTACTGACGGTTTGAGTGAGCAGACAATTGCCTACATCCTGCTGGGTGTGCTGAGAGCGCTGGAGTACATACATCAGATGGGCTATGTTCACCGGTGAGGAACATGCACTATATATACACTCATGATTTGTTGTTGTTGTTATTATTAGTCAAACAGGTTAATAATTCAACAACCACACCAGACTGTCAGCCTGATGTCTTTAATGTAGGTGTTGCAAGAATATTGAAGTATTTTTTATCATCTCAATTTGTGTCTATAGTAGTGTGAAGGCAAGCCACATCCTGATTTCAGCAGATGGACAGGTGTATCTGTCCGGTCTTCGGAGTATCTTCAGCCTGATCCGTCACGGTCAGAGAGCACGCGTTGTACACGATTTTCCCCAGTACAGTGTTAAAGTACTACCTTGGCTCAGTCCAGAGGTTCTGCAGCAAGTATGTTTGAAATATACTTCCGATCTCAAGTTTTTTTAAAATAAAAATAAGAAATGTTTTTTTGTGCAGCAAATCAACATATTAGAATGATTTCTGAAGGATCATGTGACACCGAAGGCTGGAGTAAACTACTGAAATTCAGCTTTGCCATCACAGGAATAAATTACATTTTCAAATATATTCCATTAGAAAATTATTACTATTAAATTGTAATAATATTTCATAACATTTTTGCTAAAAATAAATGCAGCTGCATAAGCGACTTTTTTTCTTTCTTTTTTTTAAACATTCAAAAATCTTTCTGACCCCAAACTTTTAAACAGTACTGTATACTGTCTATGTATTACATTGGAAATTATATTATACATATGTATATTTTAGAATCTTCAGGGATATGACTTCCGCTCAGACATTTACAGTTTGGGCATCACTGCATGTGAGCTAGCTAATGGACACGTGCCCTTCAAAGACATGCCTGCTACACAGGTGAGGCAAACACTTGCTTTTTTATCAATCTCTTTTTGCTTTCCCTCCTTTTTATCTTTCATGTAACTTGATAAACTGTCCCTTTGCCTGTATCAGATGTTGTTAGAGAAGTTGAACGGTACAGTCCCCTGCCTGCTGGACACCACCACCATCCCCCCTGAAGAACTGAGCATGAAACCGTCTCGCTCTGGGGCCGACTCTGGGATCTGCGAGGGCCCTGGCGCCGGTGGAGCTCGCCACACAAACGGAGAACCCTCATCCTCCTCCGGTGGAAACCCGTACAGCCGAACATTCAGTTCTCACTTTCATGCCTTCGTGGAACTTTGTCTACAGAGAGATCCTGAGAAAAGGTAAATAACACTCTACTCTTTGTGATTTATATCGATTTTTAAAGAAATAATTCAAAATTCAGTCATTTACTCACCATGGCATCGTTCCAAATCTATATGATTTTTATTTTTTTGTGGAGCACAAAAAGAGAAAGTTTAGGAACGGACTGACCACTCGTTACATTATAATGAAAGTGAATGGGGATCAAGGCTGCTGAGCTTCAAGCTATAAATAACTGTAGCATAAAAAGTTTCACAAAAGTAATGTATACTTTAATTCCTTGTTTGTTTTGAAAGTAACGTATACTTTTGTGATGTAATAGACTAAATGTATGTTGTTATGTCTTCCCACAGACCCTCTGCCAGCTCTCTGATAGGCCATTCCTTCTTCAAACAGGTGAGTCTTACCTTCTTCAGAGGAAATATCTGACATAGTGGCAAGAAAAAGTATGTGAAAGTGTTATTCATTAATTGGTTATAAAAACACAAGTATAGACAAACAAAACGTGCTTATGCTAACAACAAAACAGCACATCCCATTAAACATTAACAGTGCTGTGAAAAAAAGTAAATGAACTTTACCTTGTAGTCAGTATCTGAATGATCAACAGTTTATTTTGGCGAGTTTCATGAGTTCCTTGTTTGATCTGAACAACATTCGTTGATCATCCAGGTAATGACAACAAGGTAAAGTTCACTTTTTCACATGTTTTTCACAGCACTGTGAATGTTTAATGGGATGTTATCAATAAAAACACATATGGCGATATTGACAAAGTTACTGAACTAAACTGCTTTAAAGCTGAAATGGAATGTTTTGTAACTGATTAATTTTATAACATTAACTGTTATTTTCCCATTTATTCATGTGAAGCCGATTTGAAACGATCTGCATCGTATAAAGCTCTATATCAATAAATGTGACTTGACTCAATGTATTGTTGTGCTCTATATAACGTTTTAACATTGTAGATCAAGCGCAGACCATCTGAGGCTCTTCCTGAGCTTCTGCGTCCAGCTTCTCCAATCAGCAGCTTAGACTGCATGCAGCCTCAGGATTCGCCCACTGGACTGGCCAGTCTGGAGTCTGATCTCAGCCAGCTGGATGTGGATGACTGGGACTTTTGACATTAAACGGATGAGAAATTAAGAGATGATGGATTGGATGGAAAGGGTGATTTTGAGGGTGAAAATAAAATGAATGATTTTGTTGTGTTTTAAGGGAGAAAAAGGGAAGGCTGGTGCTATGTGAATGTGAGCTTCAAATATGTTACAAGAGACTCTGGAATGTTTCTTGTTGTCTTTTGTGATTTGTGTATATCACTGAAACTACAAGGATAGACTATTAAACGAGAAATGAAAAACCAGCAGCCATCATAACCTTGCTAATGCATTCAGAAGCATGAACTGAAGCAAACTCTTAGACTGGCCATGTGACAATGGTGATCACTTGAGGCTACCAAAACCTGTTCTATGCGTTTCACCTGAACTAATGACACTCTATGAATGTCTACCAGCTTACAGCAACACAGGTTCACAGTTGAATTCCCATGTCTCCTAGCATATTTGTCCAATGAAGCTGAAAGAGCTGTCAGTAAAGTCAACCTAAGCGAAGCAGTATTCAAAATATGGATGGATTGTGGGGATTAAAACTATCACCGTCTCAGAGTTTCTTCCCCCGACACAAATGTTGACGCCACCAGAAATATGCTAGAGGACAAAATTTAGGTTTTGCCTGCTCTCTGGTGTAGTTATTACTTTTAAAATATTAGTTGTATTTCTGTACTTGGCATGTGTTACAGGAGGAAGTACTTCAAAGGACCATCTGTGTATTTTCAGCATATTTACCTCTTGGTGAAATGGAATAAATTTTGCAACAGCACAAATGTCAACCCTTGTTTGCTGTTTTTACCAATGTTGTTTGATACATTACACCCCATTTTGAAAAACAGCTTCTACAATAATGATTTCTCTATAAAATTTTTCAGTTTATAATAGCGAATGCACTGATCAATTTTACAAATAAGATGGTAATTATTTTTTATGTTATGGCCGACAACCAATCAATGACAGACATTAAACTTCTATACTGTTTTGCCGAAATTATATAAAAAAGGTACAAATAAATCAATTTTAAATTCTAAGCATTTAGCCATCGCATTATACAGTATAAAAAAATATTTTTGAGATATGCTTAAGATTATATTTAACCATGTTTTTAAAGATCAACTTTACCTTTGTCATCATCTAACAATAATCACTTAACCTGAATGTAAAAATAGTGTAAATGAGCATGAACAATGAAATATCCATTATCAGCTGATGGTGATAAACTACAAAGCATCTAAAGGCCTCTCCGAGATAAATATATTGATTACTATATTGACATTCACACCGACATGTCATCTGCAATCTTTAAATGCTCGAGTTCTTCAATGCCAGGTGGGATTCTGATTGGCTGTCAATATTTTTAGCCTTCATCAGCTGAAATTAATTACAATGATATTGTTCCTTTGTGTCATTATCGTTATAGTTGTTGTGTGGGTTTTCCTGTTCTCATAGAATTATTAAAAACTAATATTGAAACATCAGCTATAAATCTTATCCTGGGAGATTTCTTAAACGTTCTACAAAAAAAAAAAGTAGGTTTATTTCAAACGTTTTAAACATTTACAACTCCGAGGGAATCTGAATGACAGAAGTAAAACGCAGAAGGGGAGGCGGTGTGGTTCTAGTCGTCCTCATCTGAGGGAGGCTGGTCAGCGGCTGCCTGCTGTTTCTGCATCTTAGCCATGAGCTCTGAGGGGAAAAATACACTAAAAATAAGTTTCTTATTCTTCATTTCATATTATATATGATATTGGTGCATGAAAGCATCAGGGGGGCTATGAATTATCCTCAACCTTTGACCAGCTGACCAAACCGGTTCCAGTTATTTGTGATTAATGCAAAATAATTTTCCACCTCAAACTACACAACGTTTCAAAAGTGGGGGTCAGTAAGATTTTTTTTATTTATGTTTTTGAAATGATGTTTGTGGAAACCATGATACATTTTTCCAGGAACATTATAAATGTCTTTAATGTTAGTTCTGATCAATTTAATGCATCCTTGCTTAATAAAGGTATTCATTTCTTTCCAAAAAAATCAAACCGACCCCAAACCTTTGAACGGTAGTGTATGTTGTGTTCAATTCAAGGTTTTCTAAATAGATAAGCACCTTTGGCAGGGTTGAAGACGCCATTGGTCTGCTGGTTACAAACATAACAGCGCTTAGATTTGCGGTAGTGCTGGAGAGCACAGGCCTCGCAGAAGTAGTGCCGGCACCTGGAAAACAAAGACATTATACTTCTGAATTGAGAATGACATACTAGTCTACAGTCAAATATGTGACAACAACATGCAAACACAATGGCAAATTATTTAGATATGATGTATAGAGGCTGAAGCAAAATAATGTGGATTTGTGCTGTGGTAAGAGGAGGGAATAGCATTTGCAATTCCAACTGGCCATGGCTTAATGTAGCACTCACTTTGTAATAATGGGGTTTTTAAACGAATCTCTACAAATGAAACACTTGAAAGGAAGATCTTCTTCATCGCTGCTCACTTCATAGTTCTCCTCATCTGTGAGATAACCAATATGTCAGAAAGCAAAACAAAAGAAACTAAATGTTTTCAAAGACCTGTAACTAAAGATGGCTCACCGTTTGCCCCATATCGTCCTTCGTCAAGCTCTCGCTCAATCTGCCAGCCGTGCTTATAGTCTGAGCGGTCATGAAGAAACTTACAGCTGTCTGAGAATTAAAAAAAAAAACATGTTTGTTCCTGCCATGGGTGCTCACATGAACCTCAAAAGAATGACAAAAATAGAGAGGAAAACTGTTGCCTGCTCACCTCCAAACCCACAGAAGCCAGTCTCTTTATAGTCTTTGCAAATGTCGGGCTGGTAATCCCACCGTACTGTGGCCCTCAGATGCTCAGGCGCTCTGATTGGTCCTTTCCTATCACGTACAAGACATTATGGATCAGTTAAACATTGTGTGTCCTCAAAAACAGATAGAGTCACAGCGGCTCATTTATACTGACTCACCTGACCATACCAGAGGAAGCGTTGCCCATGGTGGAGTCTTTGGGTTTAATGTATTTGTGGTAGTTGTTGATGCCGCGATAAATTTTATCGTCTTCTTTACCAGAGAGCTCCTAGAAATAAAATACAGGCATGCCACAGAATGAAGAGATTGTGATTATTGTGGCCACCCAAACAATAACTGTATATCTTAAAAGTCAGCATGAAAGTGCATCTAAGTGCATCTTAATGATCTTACTGTGAACTTTCTATGTATGTTTCTTTTTTACCATAATTTTGAATTAAAATGTAATAACTTCCAGTGGAACGATTGACTTTTCCAATCATTTAGTACTGTAAAGCTGTTTAGATGCAATCTGCATTGTAAAGCGCACTATACAAATACATTTGAATTTACAATAATGGTGCTGGTTATTGCTGTTCATCGTACCTCCTGAATCTTCTGGCTGCGCTCAAAAATGGCCTGAGCATCTTTGTCCCTCTCTGTGTCCAACTCATAAAGAGCAGTGGCCCCCATGTCATCTGGTCCCTCTGGTTTCTGCAACAAACAGTAATACGCTGAATTACAAGAATCAGTAGCTCTAGTCAAAGTTAGCATTTTCACAAGCAGCAGAAATGTCAAATCACAAGTCGTAATGAATTAAGAATAATTCATTTAAGGTTTGCTATAGTATAAATAATTTCATCATACATAAATCTAACACACTCACCGCTGACCGAGTCGACCTGTAAGAGACGGTGACATTCTTGTCTTCTTTCTCCTCTTCACTTTCGCTCGATGAGACTTCTTCCCTCTCCACTTTCTTTGTCTATATAAGGAGGGGTGTGCAGCAAATGACTGGTGGTTATGGCTTCAGTGTAAACAACAGCTTCGTAAAAGACACATAATGCAGATTTCATGTAACACAGGAAGTGCCGGCATACTTTCTGAATCATGGGGTTCGCAACAGCAGCTTTCTTCTTTCTGACCACAGCACTGCCCTCCTCGCCGCTACTTCTGTCTGATGAACAAACACACATAACGTTACTGATTTAATACACTGAGCTGCACAAATGTGTTGAACGGGAACATTGACTAAACGTATACGGACTACATAAAACTGCTCAGTCCAAACATGCATTACAGAGAACCCATAAAAAATAAATAATAAGAAAAATACCTTTATCGCTATCACTTGCATTTCTTTTCCGTGCAGAAAATATCTTGTTTGATTTCTTAAAAAGAAACTTGCAGGTTGTTTTTGGCTCTTCGGAGTCCGCCATCTTTAACTATGAAACAAACCATGAGGAGTAAATATGAGGAACTGCGGGTATAGTGCCTCTTGTGTTTGGGAGGAATTGTACTAGGATCAGTGGAAGTGCATAGGGGTGTATTGTTATTAATATTTCATATTTTACTATTACTATAAATATTCACTTAATCAGTTTCAGACCAATTTTGGAGGCAGGCATAACACACGATGAATGGTGGCTCATTTTGTTGCTATATTAAAACAGAACAACCTTGGGAAGCCCTTGGCAACAATAACATTTTAAAAATGGTAATGCTTCTACATTTTCTACATGTGTAAAATAAAAAAATTAAAGAAATTTCTTTTTTGAACGTTACATTAAGATTTTTTCCCTTATGCATAGGTTTTAGGGATTTGAAGATGGTCACCTTCTGGAAATGCAGTTTGGAATCTAGTCAAAGCTTTTATGTTGCAATACTTAACCACGCCCCTAACGTAAAGCTCCACTAGACGAGTACAAACGTCGTAAAGTACCAGAGTAGTTTACGGCCTCGCGCCATTTTAAGAAAGGAACGGCTCGTTCAGCTTGGTGAGGGTACACGTTGGGTATTGTGTGGACCGAAATACATACAAAATACTTACGATTGTTTAAGAAGTCCGCGCGCGAAGATTTCCTACAGACAAACACAGAGGGGGTGTTGCGCTAAAATCGGAGGTTTCGTCGGAACCGAATGAGAAGCTGAGGTAATTGGCTGTGAGAGGCCGCCTGTGGAAATGTTGGCGATCTCTGGTCTGATCAGCAACGTTAGGGTTTGAGAGCATTGAGTTGTGGTTTACACGTGTGTTACAAACCTGCACTTCCATTACTCGTGTGCATCGTTTCGGTTTGTTTATCATATGAAGCTTAATAGTGAAAAGGCTGGTTATTTAATCAATAGTGTAATTCGAGTATAGTGATTGTTGGCAAGAAGCTAACCGAGGTAACTTAGCAGGCACTGCTAGCTGCTAACATACCGAACATCGTTTAGGGGGTGTTTCTTTACTGATGCAGATACTGGAAAATGCTTGAAAACCTGAAAACACTAACGTTACGTTTACGAATGTCGATATGTCAGAAACTGAAATCTCTTATTAATCAATTAGCCACAGTAACTGCACAGATCTGGTGTTTGGGGCGTATGTTAAAAGTTGTTATGGATGAATTAATTATAATTTATCTTTCCTAGGTGAACAATGACTCAGTTTCTTCCCCCGAACCTGTTGGCATTGTTTGCCCCGCGGGACCCGATACCGTTCCTGACCCAGCTGGAGAAACTTCCCCATGAGAAACATCACAACCAGCCGTACTGCGGGATTGCCCCTTTCATCCGGCATTTTGAGGTGCTTTTGCCATATATTATGTAAACTGTCATTTTACATTTTATGGATTTTTTTTTGAAAGACTTGCACATAAAGATTACACCAAGTGTTCGATCAGAAAATGGTTGCATGCATGATGCAAATTACGAAAGATATTTTGAAAAGTGTTATGTGATACTGTTATATAATGATGTTTTGTTACCCACTGTTGGTTAGGACCCCAGAGATGCGCCGCCACCCACAAGAGCAGAGACGCGGGAGGAAAGGTTGGAGAGAAAGGTGAGTTAGTCTTGACTGAATTGAGTTTCTGTGGGAAGTTTAATCATGGTTTCTAATGCTTAGTTCTTATAACTTGCTGACCGATATTTATTTAGTGGGATTATGAGTTCAAGAGAGAACAGAACAGATTATGTAATAAATCTGATATATTGAAGTGACTGAGTAGGATAGTCTTTTTAGTACACCTAATTGTGGGCAGTTTTCATGTGTTCCTTGAAAATGAGAACATAGGAGATTTTCTCATGGGAACTTGTTTATTTTTGTTTGTAATATTGTCCATTGTGATTTGAATTGCAGAGAAGGGAGAAGATGGAAAGGAGGCAAGTTGTGGATTTTTTTTTGAAAGACTTGCACATAAAGATTACACCAAGTGTTCGATCAGAAAATGGTTGCATGCATGATGCAAATTACAAAAGATATTTTGAAAAGTGTTATGTGATACTGTTATATAATGATGTTTCGTTACCCACTGTTGGTTAGGACCCCAGAGATGCGCCGCCACCCACAAGAGCAGAGACGCGGGAGGAAAGGTTGGAGAGAAAGGTGAGTTAGTCTTGACTGAATTGAGTTTCTGTGGGAAGTTTAATCATGGTTTCTAATGCTTAGTTCTTATAGCTTGCTGACCGATATTTATTCAGTGGGATTATGAGTTCAAGAGAGAACAGAACAGATTATGTAATAAATCTGATATATTGAAGTGACTGAGTAGGATAGTCTTTTTAGTACACCTAATTGTGGGCAGTTTTCATGTGTTCCTTGAAAATGAGAACATAGGAGATTTTCTCATGGGAACTTGTTTATTTTTGTTTGTAATATTGTCCATTGTGATTTGAATTGCAGAGAAGGGAGAAGATGGAAAGGAGGCAAGTTGTTGTGGAAACAGAACTGAAGCTATGTAAGTATCTGAACCCATTACAGTGTTTCCCACAGGATTTTGTGAGACTGTTGGGTGGACCTCGGACCCTCTAGTTCACAATAAAGCTGTTCATAAAGTTTTATTTTGAACTTGTATTCAAAATAAAAAAATATATAAAGAAATACAGTCAGTTCCCTTCAGAAATGCGTTCATATTAATCCCCACCCCAGTATTTATATCTATCTTCCAATATTTTGAGCATCGCGAACAGTGGGCTTGTTGTGCCTGTACATTTTTTCAGGCCCTGCTTGCAAGAGAGAAACCCTTGAGCTTTTATTTTGATGGAAACTGTAGCTGAGCTTTTATTTTGTAGGAAAACTCCAGCTTCTGTGAAAACAGGTTTACAATCATGTCGCATTACAAATTTAGTGAAATGCTGTAATCATCTGACCACTAAAATTATGCAAATGTGAAAAAGTAAATGGTGCCGCTCCATTCCCAGACGTGCGCTAAACTCACAGCACATGCAAAAATAGTTCACTGCATTTACTGTGAACTGAGCCGCTCTGAGACATGGAAACCACCAGATCCCGTGAAGTGTGCACTTTGCTTTGAAATGCGTAGTGCAAACAGTTTCATAAGGGAATCAAGCCATATTGCTTAAGCTTTCGGTTTGTTTGTTTGACATATGCTCTGTAGTGCTGGGCGGTATACCGGTTCATACCGAATACTGGTGTTTATTTTTATGATGATATGAATTTAAAATATGTCGTTTAAACAATGTTCGGAATGCGACACTGTTTGAAAGGGGTCTCTTTTCCCTTTTGCACTGTGGGGGGGGAGCAGCTGTATGTGTTACTAAGCGTGAAAGTTCTGAAACTGAAGCTGCAGAAGTAATAGAACATGATGACAGAAAAACTCACCCACAAAATCCACAATGACCGCCACAAATATCCACCCCCCCCTGCCATCAGCTCCCGCTTCTCTCTCTCTCTCTCTCTCACACACACACACACACGAGTGCAACTTTGGCACTAGATTTAGAAATGTTCAGACCCTTTTAGCGGCTTTTTTCCATAGAATATTCATACTGACAAACCTAGCGACTTTTTTGGATAAACCTTAGCTATGGTTCAGTTGGAAGATTTCGCCAGTGCTGTCCCGCGAACGCGAGGTCTGACTTTCCCGGAGAAGTGTCACCTCTCTCGGTGTCTGTTTCTGTGCAGTGAGCGGCAAAGAAGCAGCGCATTCAGTTGGCCGCACCGCAGCAGACTCGTCAATAAATGAGTACAAAACAGCATTTCCTAGCACCTGTCACTTACTGATAGTTTGGAATTATAAATATGAGCGTAGTTCATCAGTTAATATCACATGCACTTTTTTTAGTTGTTTTTTTTTTTAGTTTGTTACTCTGACGCAAGCAGTTCGCTGCATGAGACAAAGTAATATAGCCAAAACAACCGCATAGCCGCTCTTTAGTGTAGATGCATGTTGATTTTATCAGACGATGCCGCGATTATAAAAGAGAGTGACTCCTGGTTAACATGTATTAAAAGGGGTCGTATTTAGTCACTATTTAGTGTGGTATTTTTTTACTTCACTCATCATGACAGTAAAATAGGGCATTCTACGTCAACATACTGCAGTATTTCCTCTCTCAATCAGTAGAAAATATGGTTAACACCCGGTCATGCATGAAAAAAAAAAACGTTATGTACCGTGAAACCGGTATAATTTTGAAAAATACCATGATATAAGTTTTTGGTCATACCGCCCAGCACTAATGCTCTGACAAAGCAATGGTGCAAAACACAATGTTGAAGACTTTTTTTGTTATAATGAGAAGTTTAAATATATTTTCGGTTTATGAAACTCTAGCGGGACAGATTAAACTGTGGCGGGCCACCACAGTCTAGTTAATGAATGGGAAACACTGCATTAATAAGTGAACCAATAGAACCCTATATTATAACCTTAAACTGTTTCTTGTATTCCCACAGGGGACCCACACAACGATCCTAATGCTCAAGGAGATGCGTTTAAGACCTTGTTTGTGGCTCGAGTTGTGAGTATTTTTGACAAGAATCTAAATGTTTAGAGATTGTCCTGAAGACTCGCATCTTACATGTTTTTTTTCTGTTTATGCAGAATTATGACACCACCGAATCAAAACTACGGCGTGAGTTTGAAGTCTATGGTCCTATTAAACGGGTAAGTTGTACTAAATATGTATTATGCACGTTTCCGTAGTATGCTACTACCCATTTGTTATCCTGCAGAAACATCCCTGAATTTATCTGGTTTTATTAGATCTATATTGTGTACAACAAGAAAACTGGCAAACCAAGAGGCTATGCGTTCATTGAGTACGAACACGAGAGAGACATGCACTGTGAGTAACCAAGACTACTTGTTCTTCAAATTCCTTAAATGACTAAAAGCAAGGTTCAGAACAGCTACACCATCTGTTACTACAATGAGTCATTTGTTGTATTTTCTTCCCTTGAAAACTATTAATTCATATTTTATTTTGAAGCAACAAAGTGTGTTGGTCATAGTCCATCTGTTCTGGTGTGTTTTTTTTATTTTTATT